CACATAAATAAGCTTTTTTTTCATGACTTGGTACACTGGTATCATTAACTGGTCATGCCCCAGGATTTGTGTTTGCCCAAATCTCGTCATTCCAAGAAAAAGCTTATGTTTCTTATCTGTTGGTTAGCAGTGCCATTGCCTCAATTTGGTCTGACACTTCAGTAAGACTGAATATGTATTTCTTATGCAGATTCCTTCAACTGATTCCACTTGATGACGAATCTTGCAATTAATAAAATTCTAATGATTCATTTGCCTTTGCTGTCCTTGTCTTGTGCAGTGTTTCTCCACAGTACAATGTTGCTGTTGTTCTGCAGGTGACCTGGGGCACTACACTCTTCCAAAATCTTTTCACAGAATCATAGAATGGTTTGGGTTAGAAGTAACCTTAAATTTCATCTAATTCCAACCCCCCTGTCATGGGCAGGGACACCTTCCACTAGACAAGGGTGCTCAAAGCCCATCCAACACGGCCTTGAACACCTCCAGGAATGGGGCAGCCACAGCTTCCCTGGGCAACCTGTGTCGGTGCCTCACCACCTCACAGTAAAGAATTTCTTCCTAATGTCTAATCTAAATCTACCCTTTTCTAGGTTACAGTAATTATGCTTGTCCTAGGAGAGGTGCTCTAGCCCTTTCCTAGGGCTGAAGCATCCTCATGGCCTTTCTTTGGACTTGCTCCAACACGTCCACATCCTTCTAATGTCAGGGACCAAGAAACTTCCTGCCCCCTGCTTTGCAGTATTGTAATAACCAAGTTAGTAGGTTTTCCTCCCATCTAAAGCAGTCTTTAGATTATGCAACTTGTTGTTTAAAAGGGACATACCTGGTGATGTGCTCGTCTGTTTTTCAGCCCCATTCCCAGCCTGGCAGAAGACCACTGCAAAAAAGCAAGCCCTCTTTGTGGGGAGACCAGGAAAGACAAGGCACACTGCCCATAGTATGAGTTAGTGCTATTTTATATATGCTATAGTCGCACCCATTTGAGTAGGATTGCTATATGCTCTTCTTGCTCGACACCTATCCCAACCACTCCTCTCCTCCTCGCCCTGACTATGCAAGACTACACAGAAGCAACTGTAGTTGGTCTCAGCCCCACAGACATCTGTGAGACTGCACTGCAGCCATACAGTCCTTTGGATGCCATTTCTGACACCACTTTTATTAATGTAGTGGGTTAGGTCAGGACAGACTATGCCCACATATGAATTACTATAATTCCATAATTGGATGGATGAGAAGGAGTTTGGGTGTTGCCTCTGTGAAAGAGTAATTCATAATGTGAACAATACTACAAAGTTAGATGAAAGTAGTTATCCCTGCTGCATCTTTCCATGTAGACAGGAGCAGAGCTCTCAGCAGTCAGGAGGAGCAGGTGGCTGAAGGCTGTGGCTCTGGTCGTGGGACCTCGGTCCCAGAGCACCCCTACAGGTCATCTATGGCCAGATATCCTCTAAGGCAAGGTCATGCTATCCTCTCTGTTGGGTGGAGGTGGGATGAAATCGATGATGAGGAGAGCATCTTCCAGGCTGTTGGATCTTCCTGGCCCAGGGACCTCTCTGAGCTACTGTTAGGTGATGGGTGTAGAGAATCATGGAGAAAATATTCTTTTATTAGTTTAGTTATGTCCTGACAGTGTTATGAAAAATCTCTTTAATTATGAGAAATAATACCAGTGAGCTCAGAAAATAGCTGTTGTTTGATATTTACGGCAAATGTGGAAAAATACAGGCTATTTATCATTTATCTCTGTGAGAGAAATAGCTTGGTTTCTTTCATGCAACTCATCACTTTTTTGTAAGCAACTTCCAAAAATTATTTTATATAAAATTTTTTACATAAATTTGTATCTTTGATCTTTTAAATACAGCCTTGCATAGCCATTATTATTTTCTGCAACTGAACTTTTGTATCTTTTCTCTTCACCTTTTGTACTTTTGATAATATAGTACTGACTGTTCTCTATCTGCAGCACAAAGTGTGATTTCTCTTGTACAACTTGGCTTTATTAATTGTACCCACAGCTATGACCTTCTTTATGAAAATTAACAAAGACAAAGCAGGAGGTTTCTCCTTGGTTGCAGATTTCCTCACATGTTAAAAAGGTCAGTTTGTGCTAATTCAAGCGCTTCCATTCACTAACAGTAATTATTACAGTTCTCATACTTCTTGCCTGTGTGAGAACTTCAAAAGTCTTAATAACCAGAAGTAAGAACTCAGTCGTGCTTCTGGCGACCAGTTGGAATCTGCAGGTTAAAAATACAGGTACAAAAGTTCTAAGGGACTTGTCAGAAGACAAGAGTCTATGTCTTAGGCTGTATGTAAGAAAGACTCACTAGATGGCTTTCTATGAGCAATCCTTACTGTATAACACAGCTCTCAGAAGAGCAGGAAAGGCACACTACCTTCTGAATGCTTGCAGGAAACAAAATCAATAACAGAAAAAAAGGCAAACCACTGCAAGTCAACCCACAAACTGAAACAATTATGAGCACATATTAACTGGCTCCAACTTTTCTCAGAACTTCAAAGAGCTTGATTTGTTTCCACAGACTGTCAAAACCAAATGCTAGGTTGTTGAGCATTTTGTCCAAATTAGAAAAATCTAATCAGTATGTCTCAGTTTTTTCCAAGTGACTGCTTAAATTACCCCAGTGTGTCACATGCATCTGATTTAGAATTTTCCTTAACCTTTTTGTCTTCACAAATAGAATGGAGAGTTGAAAGGACATTTTAAAAAGCATCCAGTGGTCTCTGCATTGAAAGCCTGAGTGAAGCCTGCCATCTGACTCCCAGGAGCAGGGAGACTTGGCAACATGAAGGCCTTGGTTTTCCCCCACAGACTACTCATCTCTATTACCAAGCACTTCCAGCTCTCAGACCTGACCTCCTTATTGTTGTTCACATGAACTTTCCACAGGGTGCCTGGTCCTGGACATTTGTGCTACCTGTCTACAGCACGTAGTTCCAGCTATTTCTGAAGCTGTGGGCAGCCTCAAGGGATGATTTCTCCCTTGGTGACTGTTTGGTTCTCAGAACCAGTGTACCTACAGCAAAATGGTTCTTTTGAGTTACAATGAATCCCTGCCCCTGTTGTACCTGTTTGTCACAAACAGAATTTTAAATCAATGGAAAACCGTAGCCTGCAGAATATCCTCCTCTCTGCCCCAATTGTGCAGCACAGAAATAGACCACAGGACACTTCTTTACCTGCTATCACAGCTGTTCTTGCAAACAGCTGGGTGTATACTCTGCTGTAGGGTAAGGGAGGAGAAAGTGGGATTTGCTGCCCCTGGCAAGCCATGCCTGCTGACTTCACTTAGGCTGCAAGCAGACGTCTGCTCTGGCAGCATTTGTGCATAGTGGTTGACAGCATTAGACAAGCTCAGAGGAGAGGATAGGAGAGCAGGAGAGTTGGATTATAAATGTGCATCCAGAGCTTTGCAGGAATAGCTGTGCTGGATTATGAAAGGCTGAGACAGATCCACAGCACATTTAAGGTTTTAGGCAGCTCCCTTTGGCATGTCATCAATACATAGATGTATGTCTGTGTGCACATTTTTGACACCTTTTTATACATATTTCCAGATCCCATCTGGAACAAAGGTTCTCAGGATTGAAGGGAATCAGACTTACCACCAACCACATCTTTAAATTTAGAGTTGTTGCTGTAATGCTGACTGATGTGTTTAAGAACCTTGCCCATGTAGCTGCTGTGTGGTTTTCTATGGGTAGTCCAAAATAAAGGCCATTTCCCTCTCCAGAAGACAGCCAGTTTGAGTGTTAGGCACAAAAAGACAGCTGGACAGGGCCAGAGGTCCACATACAAGGAGATAACACTGATTAGTGTGGAAAACGTTGTTATGTTATCCCTGCAACCTAGTTTGGGAGGCATTTCAGCAAAAGGGAGTGCTTAGAAGAAAAATGTAGTAGTTATTGCACATGTTGATCATTGCAGACAGGACAAATGCTCTCATCTGACAAGCCTCAGTCTTAATCCTTAGAAATCCTGCTGTAGTGAAGTTTGCAGGGGTTCTGAAAGGCTGCAGTAACTTCTGATGTACTCCACGAAGTGAACATTAGGGTATTGAGTAGGCTCTAAGAGATCTTCAAAAGAGAAGCCGAGCAGCTTACACTGAGCAAGAGAAGCCAACCAGCTTTATAAAGAGATGAGAGCCCACTGGAAGGTGGAAAAAAAGGTAGACTATTAGCAGTGTCAGTAATGTGTGTGTGTTCTTTCAAGAAGGCTTGTGTCCATGGTTAATTTCCCATAGCACTTGCGGAGAAGGACACTGAAGCAGCATACTCTTAGAATCATAGAATACTTAGGGTTGGAAAGGACCTTAAGATCATCAAGTTCCAATCCCCCTGCCATGGGCAGGGACACCTCGCTCTAAACCATATCACCCAAGGCCTCGTCCAACCTGGCCTTGAACACTGCCAGGGATGGAGCATTCACAACCTCCCTGGGCAATCTATTCCAGTGCCTCACCACCCTAACAGGAAAGAATTTCCTCCTTATATCCAATCTAAACTTCCCCTGTTTAAGTTTTAACCCATTACCCATTACAGTCCTAGTATCAACTGCAAAGCAGGATAATGGGAAGACAGTAATTACAAAAGACACATCTTTTATCTGCTGGTCTGTTGCCCTAGGAGGGACACTTTTAGGTGAGAAAAAAAGGGATAAAAAGGTTAGACAGAGAAACCCCTCTGATTTTGAATTTGGACAATCCATCCTTCCATGGCTACATTTAACTCGTGGTGAGTCTGTGTCCCAGTTTCCTCATATCATGCCCAAGGCCCTCATGAATAGTTTTTCTCCAACTGGACTTTTCCATTAAGATTCAGAAGCAGGCTTGTATTTGGCATTTTCCTTGGTTCTTTACTTTGAAGACTGTTCATTCTGGGGCAGGACAACCTCCTTCTCTGATTCAGATCACGTTTATGACTTGGTTGTAGCAGTGAAGAATTAAAAAAATTCCTTTTTATTTGTGAAATGGATTTATTTTGCCAGTTTGCATCTATGTAATCTCAATTTTCAAGACCTTCAGAGGTGGGAGAAATTATTCTTCTTTTAACTATATAGATATCGATGCTATCATGGGAGTTTCTTCAGCATTCAGATTTGACAGTCTTGGTTTCCAAAGGAGCCTAAGGGAATTAGATCGTCCAACTCCCACCTTCTTAGCATACCACAAATTCTCCTAGAATGAAAAAAATATTAAATGGTTGCAGACCTAATTTAGATAGTGTCTGAAACACTTCAGACACCATTCAGATATGAGGCAACACAATCACAAATTTAATTTAATATTTTTTTCTCTCTTTTCTAGGACTGCACACTAACCATATTTATTGCTTAAAAACTGAGGAGTTTCTCTTGTACTTAGATCTTTCTCAGTGCTAAATTCAGTATCCAAAGATAAATAAATTATTGCAATCTTAACCATACCTTCTCAAATTATCAGAATTGCAAGATGTGCTGTGGATTTAAGCCACTGGTTTGTAAGGTTCTTGAGATAAATCACAAGGTGGACCAGATGAGGTACCATAATGCTGCCTGTCCTGCCATTGTCTCATGTTAGATTGCTTTAACTACCCCACTTGGCTGATGAAATTTTCTCTTTCTCCCAGCAAAGACCTATTAACTGCCTTAGCTTTCAGCTAGCCCAGAGACCTTGGAAGTGATGTCTCTTGCACAGTGCAATTCATCTCTCTCTTGCTTTGATTTTAATGAAATTCACTTAATGGTAGTCAGAAATCTTTGCTTTTCTGTAGTACTTTTTAATTAAGTCATAAATCCATGGACTTTGAACCAGCACATTTTTCTTGTGATTAATCACATTTCATCAGATTCAGTCTCTCTTTATTTTTGTTTGTTTGTTTGGTTGGTTGGGGTTTTGTTTACTTTTCCTGTGGGGAAAAGCATTAAAATAAAAAATAAAGGAAGTTAGACAAATGCAGTTTTGATTCCCCACCTTTCATGTGATGTATTGGATGTTAAAGGCAGTCGGTCTTTCCTAACTGTTGTACTAACTGCTTTTGAATTGCTTCAACTACTTTAACATTACATTCTCAGTTCTTTATGTGCAGACCTCCTTGGATTTCAGCTGCCTCACTTCTGACAAAGACACTACTCAGTTTGAAGACAGGTACCATCTGGAATAGCTCAGGAGATAGGAAAACCTTGGCTGTACTTACTTGGATTGTCAAGAAATATTCACTATATTTGGTGAATATGGGTATTATTGCCTGTCAGGAAAAAGGAATTACACTATCAGATGAGTGTGGAAGATAGCTTTGTATATTATCTTAATTATCTGTACTCTGATGAGACTAGAAAGTGTGAAAATGCTCCCCATCATGTTGGGATGGAAAATTACATTTCCTGCAGGAGGTTCAAGGAAGGAAATTTGGTTCACACTAACTACTCTGTACCTGGCACTTCTGGGGAAAGCATCATGATTCAGATCACTTTCATTAGATGCTTAAGGAAGATGATAGACAGACCCTACTTCAATAAGAGATAATGTCCATTTCCAAAGTACTTCAAAAGTAGCAGGACTGGAACAGACTAATGAAAAAACCCAGGCAACCTAGAATTAAACTGATTCAGGCCAGGCCAAACAAGAGGTGGTGAGAGGGGCAGAGGTATGAAGTTGCTACCCACTGAACAGGTAAGCATCACAGAAAATATTTGGTAAGTGATATCTGAGTCCCGAGTTTTAGAGTTTACCCTAAATTACCTTTCAGTTATCCTGGTCAGATTACACTTTTAAGGCCTATATGGTTTTTGCAGACAAATCCAAATGGATCCTGCTACCATCTGTGCTTACGGATTCTTCTATGGAAGAGCAATCGTATTTGAATAGGTTGTCCTGATCCAGTTTAATGAGGAGCTCCACCAAAGAAAAATTACACTAATTTGAGAGGCATGCACAGAGAGTTTAAAAAGTTTGTTTCAAAGTGAGGATGGCATCAACTCAAAGTCAGTATTGAACAGCAGACCAACAACTCTGTAACTTCTGTAAACTTGGTTATTATCAGGAGTGTATCGCAATTTCTGCAGAACTGATTGATGCCGACACTGCCGGTCTTGCCATTTGCTCTCTAAATCTGCCAGAAGCAGACATTTTCTGGTGCTTCTTATCTACACTGAAATCATTGTATCACCAATCAGAATGTAAAGTTCAAGGCAAGAAGAAATATACACTCATGCAATGAAAATTCTAGTGTAAACAGGCCTTGTGAGTTCACTCAGCAGTTCCTGTATCACATCTGCATCTTTTAATCAAGTGAAAACTTACTATCAAAAACATAATATGCTGCCATGTCATGCGTCATCCCTGTTCCAGTAGCTACCTGATTCCCTGTAAGAACTTGTAACTTACACCTGAGTTGTTCAACTTTACAGAGTTTGGAGCAAGGTCAGGTTTCGAACAACAGATTGAGAAGGCTTCACATAACAGAAATCCTTTGCGTTGTATCATGTACATACCACCTTAACTGAAACACTTATTCACTTTCACTTTCTTCATCTTCGTAATCTGAGCTATTTCTATGTTGCTTTTATACTAGGAAAATTTTGTATAAGTGGATCACATTTTCTTCTAGTCAATATGCCCTGTTCTCAGCAGATAAATTATATCCTGAAAATTAAGGTAATCATCCTTTTAAAGCTCAAAAATCATAGTGCACAGAAATTATTGTTGACTTTATAGTAAGCCTAGTCATATTCAGAGCATGCCACTTTCTTACACGGAAATTGCACTCCAGATAGTGGTCAAAAGAGGAGGCTATTTGCAGCCTCCACTTCAGATGGCCAGGGGATAATGTGTTCACATGGACAGAAGCCAGAAAACTGTAGATGAGAGCGTCTTAGCGAGCCATCATCTAATACCAAAATCTAAAGTGACACATAGTAAAAATAACAATGACATTATTCTCTGCTTGTAGGGCCAATTATTGCCTATAATTCATGATGTTCTAGTTACAGATGAGGCAGCTTTTCCATTGCAAGCTTCTCTGTGTCTGTCATTTGAGGCTGACATTTCTCATAGTAGCTGTCAGTCCAGTCATAAGAGCATTTTATGATTAATGAGATAATGAAATAATTATTTTGCTTTCTCTGAGGTGCTTCAAATCCCACAGACATAGTTTACAGGAGGGAAACGTGGGATGGCTCAGGCTTCTGATAGCAAGTTCTACTGCTGCTCAGCTGTACACAGGTGATCTTTTACTACAATGACCAGAGTTTTACATAAAGCAGCAGAACATTAGTGTCTTTTCTGATTTGCAGCCTGGCCCACAGATTTCTCTGAAAGTAAGCCTGATTGAAATGCAAAGGGAGCATGAAAAAGTTCATAGAAGTGGATACAGTTTGTTTCCTCGAGTCATTTTGTTAAACATTTTTGTACAATGCTAGATTTGATTTTATAGTTTTCTGTCATTATTTGTGAACAGCAGCTTTCAAGGTCTCCAACTGGTACCAAAGCCCCGTTGGCACTTCGTATGTACATAATGCAGGCGTTTCGAAGGCATGAAGGAAAGCAGGAATGCTTAAACAGACAAGGATGCTCTAGGAGGGAAAGAGTTGCCTGACAGGAATAGGATAGAGGCCTATCCTGAGAGAAATGGAGAAAGTATATAAAGAAATTACATTTGTCATAGTAAAAGAAATAGGAAACCCCAAATGAGAAAAGATAAGTTCAGAACAAAGAAAAGGACCTGGCTCCTCACATAATACGTAGGTAAACTGTGGGCATCCTTGCCCTGAGATGTTATTATGGTGTTGATTTTGCATGAATTCAAGAGGAGACAAATTCATGGAAGAAAATTTATCCTGTCCCAGGTGGAGGGTGGCTAACATGTAGAAAAATGCTTGTGGCTTATGAAGTTTCCAGAGCCACAGATCTCTTAATGTCTGTGATACTATTCTGTGGTAGTGTTATTTTAGGTCTGTTCTGGCCTAACACGCCTTCTTGGGTTTTGTATGTTGCTGAGATTCAGGACTAAGTGGGGCTTCTGGTGTGATGCAGTGTGTATGTTCTTATGTGCTTTATATTACAGTCCTTGAACTGTTTTCCGGAAAGAGATATGAGCACTGGGGAGGAAACCTGTATAGAAGTAGTTGTTGCTCTCAACATAAGTCTGGTAGCATTCAGAGCACGTCAGCTTCACATAATGGAATTATAGAATACCTAAACAAATTTTGGCAATTAAAGGTGCTGTAAACCTCATTATTTCCTCACATGTGTACACAGGGGCAGCCCAGAATAACTCAGTTGCATGTATCTAGAAATATCTGGAAAATGAGTGGGCAATCTTTGGATGTGTCTGTTTCATAATAAAAAAAAATTATCTCTTGGTGAATCCCAGCTTCCCTGAATTGCTGAGTCACTCTCCTGAATGGGTCAAGAAAGCCCTATGGACCTAGTAAGTAATTGATATCTGTACTACGATGGCTAAGGCTGTCATTGATCTGCACTCTTCTGTGTCACCAGCAATTTAGACAGCCAAGCCTTAATTCAAGGACATTACTGAGTCTAATGATCCCAAGCTGTCTGTTCATGGGGTTTGGAAATATTTTGAGGTATGTGAAACCTGTTATTCTCCCATAGCTCTAAGGAGTCCAGAGCCTGTGTATTAAGTATGGTAGTAATACTGTGAAGTCCACAAAACTGTCTACCCAAAACCTGCAAAGTCCAGTGTGCTCATATCCATGTGGCAAAGCATACTCCTGCAGATTTTATACAGAACATATGCCAGCAATGAAAAGGGAAGGAAGATCCATAGATTCATTGACAGATATTCTCTATATTTGACAAGCTAATGCTTTTTGGAATTTGTAGTGTTTTCTGACTGTACAAATACTCTTCTATTAAGAAGCTGAGTGTAACACTGTATTGGTAAGTGGGTTGAGAGCTGGATGCCTTTGAGGAGTCAGGGGTCTGCAGAGGGCTGCTCTGGGATGCTCTGATAGATGAAGTTTTCTGGATAGTCTAAGCCAGACTGGTACTTTAGCAAAGGGTTAAGCTAAATTTTAGGGGCAATTGATGAATGACAGACATAAATACGTATGATCACTTCCTGCTGCACCTAAAACCTGGAGGTGACGCTGTCATGGTTTAATTCTTAAATTAAAGCCAAAACACAGTGCTGTACTAGCTACTAGGAAGAAAACTAACTCTATCCCAGCTGAAAACAGGACAGACCCAAAGGGAAAACCGTGTGAGAGAGTACATACTTAAAAGAAGGATTTTACCAAATGCAGAGACTCTTTTATCTGTACTCACCTTTGGAGTCACAGTCCGTTAATCCATACCTATCCTTAAAAACACTTCATGGGCTTTTCACTGAGAGCATACAGAGGCTCCCATTGCCAGCAACGTCTGCTCACAAACTCTGTTGAATAAGGAAACTTGGAATCATGTATTCAAATTTGTGCTTAAGAGTTAGAGAGAATCAGTTTGCAAAGTCTTGTTATTATGTTAAAGAAGAGAACCAGTGTCTGCAATTAACCAAGGGAGAAAGAAGGATTTCCAGTAAAATTTATTTCTCTTAGGCAGCCATTTTCAGCTATCTTCGACAGACAGCAGTGCAGACTGATTGTCTACTTACATAAACATATTTTCAGGTGGGGTAGAAGTAAGTTTTCTGAATTATGTTAACTCCTGAGAATATCTTCCACTAAGCTTCCACTCATAACAGCTCTCTTTACTACATTTTTACCTCTTCTCTGTACTTCAGTGTTTATCTTTAAAGTTGCCAGAAGTTTGGCATCCAGATGCTTAAGCCTCTAGAAAGAATCACAGTCCTAAAGACTACAAAGCTCTAAGTTGTATTACTCAGTTTTGTGTTGTAACATCACCTAACTGTTGAAGACTCAACTTGTATTTTAATTTGTTGTGTTATTAACCTCACTAGAGGGAAGAGAAAGGGAAATAAAAAGGAAATGGTTTTATGAAGAACAGGGAAATGGTTTTATGAAGAACTTAACTTACGTCTAGGACCCCTGGGACATGATCTGGTTTCAAGATTATATATTAACAAGATGTTTTCTTTTCTAGGCAGGCATTGAACCAGGCTTCCCAATGAAGTGGTGGAATCACCATCCCTGGAAGTGTTCAAAAACCATGCAGATGAAGCCCTCAGTGACATGGTTTAGTGGTGGACTTGGCAGTCCTGGGGCTATGGTTAAACTTGGTGGTCTTAACGGTCTTTTCCAATCTACTTGATTCTATGAATCTATTCTATAGCTTTCTGGAAAAAAAAATAATATAAAAAAAAAAAGTGTTTTTTTGGTCACCTTGAACTTTTGTGTGCCTACATACATACAAGGTCCCACCCTCACCCCAACCTAACATTCCAGTGCCAAATCCTCTGCTTGCATTGGCATAAATGTTCATGCAACACAACAGTCAGTCAAGTTTAAGAATAGATTGGCTGAAAAATATCCTTTAAAAATATTTTAAAACTGTCAGACTTGAGCTGTTATAAAATTATATATATTCTTAAGCTAACACAAGGAAAGCATAACTGAATTGCAATGGGTTGCAGTGTGTGAAGGGGCTACCTCTTTCAGTGGTGATAAGGATTTTCATGGGGTTGAAGTGACTGCGAACAACCTTTTGAACAGGCACCACCGTGAAGGAACATCACAGAGTTTATTTAACAAGTTAAATAAACTGCTTGAGATTCTTTTTTTCCTGCTCCTTCCTTCTGCACATGCAATACTTTTCATGAAAGAGAATCCTTGCCAGGCCTGACTTCAGCTGAGTCTTGCTCCTTTTACAGATACTGCAAATACCAGTTGTGCTTATACCGTTTATCCCTGCAGCCGCATACAGCATCCATACATCTTCACCCTTCATTTGTGATAGTACCCTTTCCTCCTGTTACACAGGACTAGTTGATCAGGTCAATTCAAAGTGATCTGTCTCCTTTCCCCAGAGAGATCTGTAGCTGTCAGGAGAGCCTGCACCATTTAAGGGGGGGGGGGTGGGAGTGAGTCTAGCAGTTTGCTGTTGGGACTTTTTATTGTAACCACAGCATTCTGACCTTAAGATAACTGCAGGGAATTGGCATAAGTGGCCAAGAGATTCGCCATCTTGCTCTTCTTTTCCCTGGAACAAAGCATTCATGCATGAACTGACACTGAAAATGGGCCAAACTGTTCTTGCCATAGTTATTCCTATAGGATTATAGGCCTGTTTCCTTAGCAATATATATGCTGTACAGACTAAGATGTTTGCATCAGGTCCCTCTTCCATTCTTTAAGATCTGAGGTAGCACCAAAGGACCAGGTGGCATTCTTGAACCACATTTTCTGGCTCCAGACAGCTGCTGGCACACAGGGAGGAGAAAGAGGGAAAGATGCAACATTGTGCTGTCCATGCCAATCTGTGCAGCTACAAAGAGCAGGAAAGAGATGACTGGCAAACACAGTGAACTTAAAAGTTGTAATGCGTTTTATTTTCTGGATATTAAATGTAACTATTTTGTATTCCATGCCAAGTTTTAAATCTATTTCAGTAACCACCAGAAGATGTTTCCTTTAAAGGTATTAACAGAGTGATGGGTTTTACTAACAGAGGAACAGGTGAATTTCCTTCCGTGATTGTTGCTCACCAAAAGAAACATTACTGCCCTCGAAAAATAGGTGCAGTGCCCAACACTGTCCACAGGGAGGGGAACAAATCCTAGATCCAGAAACGGAATTTTTACAGAGAGAATTCTGCTCGTCCACCCAAAGATAGAGGAAAAAAAAAAAACAAAAAAAACAAACAAAAAAAAAAAAAAAACAAAAAAAAAAAAACCCAAAAAACAAAAAAACCACAAAAAAAAAAAAAAAAACAACAACCAAACAAACAAAACCCCCCAAAAACTGATTATATTTTCCAAATAGATCAAATGTCCTAGCCAAGACTTCAGGGTAAATTTACACTTTGTTCAGGGCCAATTGTAATAATCAGTTTGAACTTGAAGAAATAGGTATCTCTCACAAGGAGTAATGAGGGAGAAAACATAGTCACTTACCTGTTTGGTAGTGTTTGTCATTCTTGTGATAGCACTGCAAAATTCCTTTGGAAGGTCTGTTTTAAGAATGATGAAGGCCAGATTCTCACTCAAGAAAAACAGGGGCCTGCACTGCTACTAGCTAGGAGCATGAAAAACCTTTAGCAGAATGCAAAACAAAAATGGGAAGATCTTCTGATGCTGATGGCCACCGTAGCAAAATAATGAAACCTTTCTTGAAGACTATTTTTACATATTGAGTGTGAAAATTGTCAGCTGAAAACATTACCTGCAAAATCAACCTATTTTGTTGAGATAAAATTGATCCCTAGCATAAACTGTGAAACTGTGGTAGCAGTTTTCTTAGAACATGTTTTACTCAGCTTTCACATGAATGTGAACACACCTTTTCTTCCTGGTCTTCCACTAATAAATGCAGACTTGTTCAGATTTGTTTATGTCATGCTTGTTTCCCTGGGTCTGTTTTAGATGAGTTTTGGTTTTAAGCAGGAGACATTTCTGAGACATAGTGATGTGTGTGACCGATAATGCAAATGATTAAGCACATGCGCAAAACCCAGAGGATGTCCGGCTGGTCTGCTGTGCAGAGTTTAAACTAGGGAGAATGCTCACGACACTGCAAACACCTGGAACTCTTTGTGAGTAAACATGTGTGATTCAGGCAGAACCTTGTGCTGCCTGAGGTTGGAGTAAAGTCACTTGCTGCAGGGATAGATACGGTTGAAAGTAATAGCTGTCTATGCTTTCCTGAAAGCACATAGGAAAGAAAGAATAATATTGGGTGGCTTTTTTTCGTGCAGGTAGGCATTCAGAGAATGAAGACCATAATTCTGCTTCTTTGAAACCTGAGAACATTTTCTCTACCAGTATGTTCAGTCCCACTTCTTGTTTGGCAGGGTTTATGTGCTGAACTATCAAAGAAAATCTTGAGACTAACTGTATTTTCATCTCTGCTTTTTGAATGCCCCCAAGACAAATAACAGATTCTGGAGGATAGTCCCAGAGGCAGTGGTTGGATCTCCAGTATGCAGGTTTAAAAATGGCAACTCAGTGATCTAGTCCTAGGCACAGATCTGGTTCAGGTAGAAAGTATTTTTTTAACTTCTAGCAAGTTGGACACTTAGTAAGTGGGAAATGATGTGCTGAAATGAACATAGTTGAGGGCTGTGCTGTAGTTACATATTCCTTACTTTCTCATTAGTAAAAGGCACCACTAGACAGATGTGCTTGACAGTGTTCCCTGCTGTCTTGTAAGACTCACTTATTATGATTTCATGGATTGGTAGTATCAGGCAAGACTTCAGGGATCATCTAGGTAATGCTTCAGCAAGACAACTGTGTGCAAGATGGTACTTTTGAAGGTGATCTTGAATACATGGACATAGGACTGTGTTTCTACAGAAAGCCAAGTCTTGCTCTCTAATGACAGCAAATACTTAGCTAGTCTGCCAGTTGTAAGTCATAATTAGTCAGCCACATGTTAGCTGAGTTAAATCAAACCATATTAGGTTACACAGAGATATGTTTCTATCTGTGGGTGAGGCAAACCGGAGGAGTCCTTTCTGTAAGCAACACTATAACTTGAGCCAGGTGCTATAAAATCCATTTTCTTCTCAAACAAAGCCTGCAATATAATTTATCAAAGTTTTCTGCCATGTTGCTTCTATAAGCTCTGTTACAGTGAAGTGCAATCAATCTGTATTAGATTTCACTTCCAGGATAAAAATCTTACATGATGTTATTTATACTCTTGAGAATATTTGAAAAGTAACTTGTAAAGATTCCAGTTTGGCTAATTGTCTAATTGGCTAAATGTCTAGCTCATTTAATGAAAGAAGTGAAGGGGAAAAAAGTGAAGAATTGCAATTCAGAAAGCATCTAAATTGTCTGATAAGGTTCCCTGTCCTAGTCAAAATAGTCTGGTGTTATTACAGTTCCTGTGGGTAAATGTAGAAAAACCAAACCAAAACAAACCAAAAAAGTGGATGAAAACATCAGTGAATTGAAATAATACTTTTTCCCCTTAAAAACTGCAAACTCAAAGACCATTTCTGAGTGAGAACCAGAAAGTTTTCAATATTTTATTTGCTTCACCATGATGATCAAAACTCACCTAAAACAGTTGCACTTGCTGAAAGTGAATCTTCATATTCCTGTGGTGTGAATACTAAAGTACAGGTTAGATTTAGATTCACAATATGCTTTATGGGCTTCAGTGCTAAAGAGAGGTATGCATGGCCTTCGACAGCGCTGTGAGGAAACAGAGCTATTTGTAGTCTGGCGACCGTGTTTCTGTCTCCTCTTCTCTGTCTCCTCTTCTGTAATACTCCACATTAGGACTGTGAAGCATTATAGACATCTCTATTTAAATACTTTTGATTCATTGCTCTACTTTGTGGAGAAAATGCCTGTAACTCAGAAGCTGAAAGTACACTTGCATGGGAACTGTCTTTGGGTTTTAACAGAAATAGCATAAAAAAGCTGGTGGTGCACAGAAGAAGAATTTTCATCAAACCTTGAAGGGAAAACTTGATTTTAAACTGTTGAAATTTTAAGCTGTTGAAAATGGTTTGTGCTGTTCTTTTCCATATATAAGGAGCACATAAAGCAATGGAGTTTGAAAATGCCTGCTTTCACACTCCAAATTGTGCAGCTGCTGCAGATGTATGGTGCTTTGCATTGCCCAGCAGAGGTGCTATGCACAGGTTTCTTTACTCTGGGATGTAATTTGGGATTGTGGGAATCCTTAGTCAACTGTAGTTTGGGAGCAGGAAACAATAACTCCCTATGCAGAGCAGATGATAGTCTTCTCTTGAAATCTACTTATTCCT